TGGAGGAAACCCACGCTGACACGGGGAGAACATGTCAGAGCACCTGGAGGAAACCCACGCTGACACGGGGAGAACATGTCGGAGCACCTGGAGGAAACCCACATGCTAACCACATGCTGCCTCTTTGAACTCGATGCAGCAGTGCATTCAGCAGATGTGGAATCACTTTAGTTTTATTTATTGAATATTATCTGTTATAAATTCCAATAGACTAGTTAATTTTCTAACCTGTGTTCTGCCAGCAGTGTAAAACAGACTTCACCAAATCAGGATCAAGTATAAAAACAAAATCCACAGTGGTAATGTTGTGGTGTGGGAGGTGTAGCCGGAGCTGTCGCTATTTCAGTGTGTTTTCAATTCATTAAAGTTAACTGTAACATTTTGGTCACCTGACCAAAAGTCTCGTTCAGCGTTTGGTTGAACTAAAAGACTTAGTCATGAGTCCTGCAGCCTTTTTTTTAAATTCTTTTGGAGGGAGGATGCTGAATGAGGAACCAACACACACACGCACACACCTGGCAGTACCTGCTCACGAACCTGCAGACTGACTCGTGTGTTTACATGTAAACAAATGAAGCTCTGGTGAAAGCTGAGTCGGACGACTGTGCCTTTGCGTGCTTCTGGGTCTGTAATGTTTGTCACACCATCTGCCATTCGCTCCTCTCACATATGCTCACTCATAATTTCCTGCCGTCATTGTCTGCGGCCGTCAAATGAGACACCAGCGGTTGTGTCAGCTATTCAATCTCCCTCAGGAGTTGATCCACCAAAGACTTTCTGTGACATCATCACATCCTGTGTTCACCTGTACACCTGTTTATCTTCCCATCACTCACTTGTCTCTCCTGACTGAATTAAAGTTCCTGACACACTCACTGTGCTGCTGCAGTGACGTCACCGAGCTGTGAGACAGGTCGACCCTGCAGCGACACCTGATTCCTCAACAGGGTGAGACCAGAGAGGCGTCACCTGCAGGGACACCTGCTGCTATAAGACCAAACCTCCTCCACCCAGAAACACACTCTTAACACACACTCTCAACACACACTCTCAACACACACTCTCAACACACTCAGCACACACTCGACACAATGGCATTTTTTAAGAATATAGGTGATTCCTTGGAGGACACTGCTGCTGATGCTGGCAAAAAAATCATGTATCAGTATGATTGATCATATCAGTCAGAGATCAGATCCTGTTTGAGATTTAAAGATACAGACGTTTATTTGTGACTTTGTTAAAGCAGAGAGCACTCAGAGGAAGTGTTTATAGCTTTTATCAAACAGGCAGGAGTTTGTCTGAAACACTCGAGTAGAAAGTTTTGAACAATTCTGAATTGGGGGAGAGGTCTCAAAAATTATTATTATTATTATTATTATTATTATTATTATTATTATATTATTTTTTTTATTGGCCATTTTATGCAGTCTAATGTAATCCAGTACAACAGCTCTGCCACATCTTCGATCTTTACGAAGCTTAATGGCTGTTTTGGGTTTTTTTTGTTAAAACTGTCCAATGTGCTGAGGTTGTAGTTTGTGGTGTTGAACTTTACTAAAATGTGTCTCTAATATTCTTATCTTTGTGTTTTTAATAAGGCATGTAAACCATAGAAACAACTCTCAATGTACTGTAGTCCAGTTCAACACCGCTGCACACCACGATCTCAGTAAAACACAAATAGTCTGATTAATACATGTCTTTATAAAGGTAGAATTTATATCTGAACTATTGTGCTGGATTGCATTAAATTTTACAGGTTCATACATCATGTCTACGTGTCACTCAGTTTAAGAATCACATAACTGAAGTAAGGGAACAAGCAACTATATTTCTTTCTGTTTTACAGTTAGAAGATTACTGGCTGATGGCTGTGGTGGAGTACCTCTCTGTGGTTTATCATTTAAATTCCGTTTCTGTCTTTGTTCCAATTAAAAAGCCAAAAATCTGTGATCGACAATATGAACAAAGACACATGGAGGGATCCGGCTTCTCGCTGTCACCTTCAGTATTTGAAAATAAAAGGTTTTAACCTCCAGGGAGGATCAGATGGTTGTTTCGGTGTCAGGCAGGTGATTGGAGCCTGGGGAAATTTACTTTATTAGTGTACTCTCAGTTGGTTATTAAGCCCCGCCCATCTGATGCTGCAGGCAGGTTAATCTTTTTTTTATTTAGATATTTTTTGGGGCATTTTGCCTTTAATGGACAGGACAGCCAAGTGTGAAAGAGAGAGAGAGAGAGAGCTGCTCTGTACATTGGACATGACAGAGGACCTGGAAAAAAAAACAAAAAAAAAAAAACAGAACCTACCAGGGTCCAAAATGATCACCCGCCAAACACGAGTAGATTTTCTGTTTAGCGAGTAAATCTCATTTGTATGAAAAAAGTCATGTAATAAAAAACAATGTTGAGAGTCTCTGCTATGTTCTGGTGCCATTTAGGTACACACTGCTCTGCTGTTCCTAAACTGTTCCCGCGCCGTCTGTGTCAAACAGGCTGCATGAAAACTGTTTCGAGCACTACTAGTTTTGCGTCACTGTTTACTGTCCAGGCCATCAGCTGATCCCATAAACGTGGGTCTGCGGCTAGCTAGCGCTGCACCCATCCTTTAGAAGGTAATTAAATAACAACACAGCTGCTCGGTTGTTTAACCATGACGGCAAACTCTTTATTGATTCTGACATCAGCAGCAGCAGCACGTTAGCTTCGCTTCTTTCATTTTTATTTCACAATAAAAGCGGTGAGGCTGTTCCTGTTGGTGTCCAAATAGGCCTCCCTTACCCCATCAGCGTGGAACCAGATCCGTTACGTCCTACCTGTATATCACAGTGTGACCTCACCAGGTGCTGAAGAACTTAACGGCTGTTTGTTCTACAGGAAATGCGGTCGAGAGCGGGCTGAAGAACTTTTTGGGTGGTGAAGAGCAGAAAGACGATGGAGGCAAAGAAGACAAAGAGGGATTCAGTTTCGGAAAGTTCCTCTCATCCGGTGATGATGGACAGAAAGATGTAAATGAAGGATCACCCAGTTGTGGACAGACAGATGACGACAACAGTGGATTTGGTTTAGCAAGCGCCCTCAACCCCGGCGGTGGTGGACAAAACGATCCTGACAACGGAGGACTTGGTTCAGGAGATGCCAAAGGTGGTGGACAGAAAAATGATGACAACACGGGAGCTGGAGAACCAGGTGAGTCCTTCAAACTGACTCAAGGTCACAACAAAATTCAAATCAGTGAAATGCAACATCTATTCAGTCCAGTTAAATTGCCGCGGATTTGAGCTCAGCTTTGGTGAACCTGCGGATTTTAATAGTAATTTGTCTTGACGTTGCTGACCTTTAAGAGCCGGAGAGTTGAAAATGGACGAAGCTATTGTAGCTTATTAGTTGTTGTTGCACCGTTTATTTAACCTCCTCTGTCAGAGTATAAACTGCTCAGCATCAGAGGAACTCTGCTCTGCAGACAAATGTCAAAGGTACAAATACGACTTTTTAATAAAACTGAGAACTTATTGTCCTGTTAAGGACCAAGCTAAGCTAACAAGCTCAGCAACAAGGTCTGCACACTGACCGTTAGCAAGCTAGTTATCATCCCTCTCCACTAACTTTTGTTTGTTATTGAACAAATTATGATGTGTCTGTGCTTAGACACAGCATACTTTGAGCTACATGCTAACGTCATCATGTTTCCATGTTGCAACACATTTTCATCCCAGGTCGTCACATGTTGCCACTTAATCAGAGGACTTCGATGTCTACATATTATACACCAGTTATCCTCCTGTGTCTGCTGTCGACATTCTAGGACGTTCGGACGATCTGATTCTCCTCTTTGGTCCATTCTGGTCTTTGGTGGTATAATTTTAATATTCTCTGTCCTTGTCGTTCTGTTACTTTCTTCAGGGATAGATGCTGCAGCCGCAGCTCTTGGAGATCTCTTTGACCAGTAATCCTGCAGACCACGTCCAACGAGGCTCTGCCTGCAGCGTCCTCAGAGAGAAGCAACTCCACCCAAACTGCTGGAACATTGTTGCTTTCAAATTATTTGCTTTTGAGTTTTACACAGAAAACGTGACGCTACCAGAAACATCCTCCAAACTTTTGAACATCAGATCAATAGAAAGTGATATACCTGTAAGAAACATGTACATGTCTTAGTTAAATGTTGAATTAAATGTTAGTGGCTGGCTCCTGCTGGGTGACAAAGAGTTTGACACGTTGGCAATGTTTGTTTTCTCTAAATGAAAATTAAATTTTATTCTCTATACTGACAAATTCTGTGAACTTTGGTAGAGAAGATATGAACTAAATGTTAAAACACCAGTGCAATTTATCTTCTGTATTCTGCTGAAGGTTGCTAATGCTAATGCTAATCAAATGCTAATTAAATAGTATCAGCAGCAGTTTGTCCTGATTTTGTTGGTTTTGATCTTCACTAAATATTCAGTACAAACTTCAGGCTCAGATTTGATCGGTGCTGGAATGTACCTGAGTACATTTACTCAAGTTCTGTAACTAAAAGTAAAGTACTTTAAATCTGTACTTGAGTATTTTCTTTTCATGACACATTATACTTCTACTCGATAGAAAGGTTTGTAAAATCTTATGTTTAGTTAAAAACAGTTTTTTAAAGTCCAGCTGAAGCCATGAATTCCTTAATCAATTATTGGATTGACAGAATATTAATATAAAACGATGGTGTGTACATGCATATGTGTGAGTGTGTGTTTGATCTGAGGTTTAATGGAAGCAAACAGACACACTAACTTGAAATGCATTGAAACCTATTGAAACTAATGGAGACCGGCTCCTCCAGTAAATTTTCACCTGCTGTTTGACCAATAGAAGTTCTGTAAAACTTTTGTTTGAATATAAATATATAGATATGAGCCCCTCATGTGTGTACTGAAAATTATAACTCTATATTTTTATGACTTATTCTGGGATATTTTCTACGATGATAACAAACTGTATAACCATGTGTAAAAGTAGTGATGGATTGAACTCCACAGATGATCTGTTCATTTGGGCAGCTTTAATCATGTAAAAGCATTTCCCCACTCAACATGGCCACTGAGACCGCCTTTCAGATGAAGGACGGCCATTCTTTATTCACCACAGGTCACCGGGGCATGTGACCCACTACATCACCAGCTCAGTATGAGGGGGAACCCTCCACACCATCATCATCCTCACTGTGACAGATTTCAGGATCAGCGGATGGATTTATTTTTGGTTTAGCTGTTGTAAAAATCACCGATCTGCTGTAATAAAATCCTGTCATTGCTTCGTTTGCTTTCTCACCACAAGAAAACTTTATGTAGTGGTCTTGGTTCAGTTGTTCAGTCCCCACCAAAGTTTGATTGACAGCTTTGACACCAGCCCAAACGAACTGTACTAATAGTTCGTTTCAACCGAAGCAAACAGGTGAGGTGTGAACGCACACTAGCACTCTCGCCTCTGAGAGAATAACTTGGTTAAGAGTGAGCTGAATGATCTGTGAGCGGTTTGCAGTGAACTCATGGATGTACAGATGAGTATCACTGAGAATTATCATGTCTTTAAGTGGATGTTTGGACGTTAATTGCAGATGGAAGTCACATATCCTCGGAAAGCGTGACACACACTGAATCTAAACATGTGTGTTCACATTTCACTGAGTGATGCCTCAGAGAGGGAGGGTGAGTGGAGATGTAAAGTTGGGAAATGGCTGTGTTTTAAATCTCCTCCTGTTTGTCTCTGCTGTAGCTCCACCTGCTACAGAGACACCTTCTCAATGTTTGCCTCGTCCAGACTTTGACATTATGACTAACACGTTACAATAATTAACATTATTCAAAGGAAAAGTTTCTGAAGCTGGAACACTGAAACATTTTACCTGAAAAGTGACTTAAGTCCACTGAGTGATAAATAAATGGTTTCATCTGGATAAACTCTTCACATGTTTTAATTTGTAAAGTAACTGAAGCTGTCACATAAATGTAGTGAGGTAGGAGTGGCATGAAAAGAAAATACTAAAGTACGTGAGTAAATGTACTCCACCACTGGTGAGTCACTTCTTTTTGTCACGATAAAGGGAGGACAGGGACTCACCACACATGCATGGCATTGTTCACATTGTCTCAGTGCAATGTGACCAACCTGCTCTGCAGCTTCAGCTCTGTGGAACAAGCACTCACATCTTTCACTGCGGTAACAACAGAAATACTCTGATACAAGTAAAAGCACTGCATTAAAAAACAAAGGTATCCAAAGTACTCATTTTGCAGAGTAATCTGTATCATTGTATTATAATTACTGATGCATTAAGATGTTGCAGCTGGTGACGGTGGAGCTCATATTACTGATTATATGTTGTATTAATAATCTGAATCTGTAACGTGACTGAAGCTGTCGGATAAATGTGCAATATCTCAGTAGAATTAAAAAGTAGCAGAAAATGGAAATACTCAAGTAAAGTACCTTAAAACTACACTAAGGCTGAGTACTCGAGTAAATGTACTTATTCACTCTCTGCTGCAGCGACACAAACACACCTCACATTATTCCAACAGGACATAAAGTCATAGATTCAGTCTGTTAATGAGATGCTGTGTGTGTGTGTGTGTGTGTGTGTGTGTGTGTGCGCGCGCGCGTGTGAGAAGCTTTAATCAGGTGGAACCAGTCGGTCCTGTGTGGGCACACCTGAAGCCTCGATGGCCAACGAGGAGAGAGACACCTGAGATGGGCGTCGACAGAAAGAGACGGGGCTTCAGTCTCACCTGCACCTGCCAGAAAACACACTGAGGACACTCGTCACAGACAGAAACACTGATTGACAGACAGACCAACAGACAGATCGACAGAGATGGGTGACTGGTTGGCAAGAAAAATAGGTGAGTAGTGAAAGTGTGGAGGAAAAAGAAGTCTGGGAGATTTGTGTTTGCATGGTCCTGATTTGCATGGCTGCTGTCGGGCAGAAACTCTGTAAACTGTCCACACTAAGACACATTCATATCTGGATAAAAGGAACGTCAGAGTTTAAGTAACTTTGCAACAAAACTTGTTCTTCAAAGTGTTGACGCTGAGCCTAAGGGGAAAGTTTAACGAGGGTTTGAGGTGATGAGTTTCAGGGTGGAGGAAAAGTTTAACGTTTAAATGTCCCACAACACGTGAACAGGACCAAATACTGAGTCATCACCATGAAACTTCCCTGGTCAGACTGTTCTTACAGATTTGTTGTAAGTTTTTGTATGATAAACAATGCGCCCAAACTCGTACCTACCCCACGTATTTTGAAAGAATGTGATCACGTGACCAATGAGCTGACAGAGGTAAACAAGGAAGCAGTCTCAAGTGCTTGTGGACGCAGGTTGTTGTGGTGGATTGGTCACAAAAACTGGACCTTCACCCAGGACTTTCCCCTGGAGTGGTGTGTTTAGATTCGTGTGAACTTTGAGTCATTTTAAGGTGTTTTCACCATGTTTCTGTACCAACACCAAACCTTAATAACTTAACACTTAACAGTTACGTAATTAAGGTAAACGCCTGATTTCCTCTTACATACGTGTACGGAGACGATGCAACCGGAAGTCCATTCATTCCTATGGGAATCTCTGCAATACTCGATGTGCCTGCGAAACTCCTCCCCTCCGTGATATTTTGGTCCAGAATCTTCCGCAAGTATGTTGAAAAAAATTTAACTTTTATGGTGGATTTTGGGGAGACCGTATGACAGTGTGCTAGCTTAGCTAACAGGCTGCTAAATAGCTTCACATTAAAAATAACCTGTTTATTTAGTTTGAACACATTGTGAATCTGAGTAATGTTATTCTGCTAAAATACAGTTATACACTATATACAGTTAGATTGTCATTATGACTCGTTCAGCCGTTCATACATCTTTTTATTTAAATATTTCACAGAACATGCTACATACCTGGCAGACCAACAGCTTCTCTTATTTATGGCCATGCAGTATTGATCCTGGTTTTGTCCCGGTAATGTTCCAAGCGCAGGTAGCTACAGGTAGTTTCTATCAGGTTTCTCTCTGTAAAGAAATGCACCTCCTTGCATTGGACGCAGTTGTTTCACCGCCATGTTGCTACAGTAGCCCAGAGCGGACAAACCAAACACTGGCTCCACACAGGGGCATTGGCGTTTGTGTGTCGGCCATTTTAGTTAGAAGATCCTCCGTGTCAGAACACTTATTTTTCAACATATTCTCATTGAACGGTTCCTACAAATTAGCGGCCAACGTATGACGTTATATCCTCAGCGTACAGTTACACAATTGAGTTAGATTGAGTTAACTGAGAAGTTATAGAGGTTAGTTTTTGAAAAAGAAACATGGTGAAGATGTACCTTAAAGAGGCAACAGACAGCATCTTTTCCTAAATATATCATGATGAAAATAATGTGGGTTGCACAGGGTAGTGTCCACAGTAAAATCAGACTATCAGTGTTTACATAGGTTACTTAGTGGCTTTGCAATCTTTGCAATAAGCTTCTGCCACCGGGGGCGAAATTTCACAGAAAAAAATCTGCTTTACGGCAGGAAACACGTCATGTATTGTGAAACTGGTCGGTCAGCCAATCAGGGGCTGGAGCTGGTCCTTATGAGGAGTTGGGCATGAGATAGAACACAAAAACACAGCATCTGTCACAGGAAACTAATTGATGTGTAAAACAGGAAATTAAAAAGACGTTTCAGGGACCGATTTGTTGAGAATAATGATGATTACTAATGAGAGAAGTTCTGAGGGCCTTTTTATGCCTGAGTGTTTAACCCAAGGCTCCAGTTTTAGTGACAAGGTAAATATTCGATTAGTTTTGGTTTCATGTCAATAATGTGAGCACACTACAGAACTCTACACGATGAACCTACAACCTGTCCTTACCAACTTACCAAGCTGTAGAACTTCCTGTATCAGTCTGAGAGTCTGAACTGTCCAAAAACATGTTTCGACATTAGAAATGAAGCGACCCACGGTTCAGATTGATCTGGACCAGGGTAGCCTCTCTTCATCGTTTGGTGCGAGGGAGGTTTCATAACTGTAATGTTGGTTTTGATCAAACTGAAAAGGTCGGACTGAACGAGGAGTCTGAGAAAAGGCCCTGAGCTGACATTAAAGGTAGTTATCAGCAAATACTCCACATCATTTAAATGTCAGTCAGTCAGCTCATCTGAGCTTCAGGCAAACTTCATAAATGACTTTCAAACATTCTCTCGTCTTTGCCCCCTGAGAAAAACTCCACCCCTCTGGTGCTCCACGTAGGCAAAATCAAACATGTGAGCTGATGGTGTGATGCTGTTTGTTCTGCAGGAGACATGGTGGAGGACAAGGTGAGGGGCGCTCTGGGTATAGAAGAAAAGGACGAGGACAAGGAGAAAGGGTTCTTCTCAAAGGTCTTCGGCAGAGACGACGATGAAGATGACAAGAAAGGGAAGAGGGACAAAGACGACAAAGAGGAAGGGTTCTTCTCGAGGATCTTTGACAGAGACAATGATGACGACAAGCGGAGAGAGATGCAGAAGGACAAAGACGACGAAGACAAAGGGTTCTTCTCAAAGGTCTTTGACAGAGACCATGACGATGACGATGACGATGACAAGTGGAAAGAGAAGAAAAGTGGGTTTGCGGGTCTCTTCAGAGAACAGGGGGGACCAGGTGCTGCCGGAGGGGTCCCAGGAGAAAATGTTGGAGGAGGCGAAGACGGTGGAGGAGTCAAAGGACAAAGTGTGGCAGTAAATGATGGAGGTGCGTATGAACAACCTGGTCTCACTCCTAAGTTGTCAAATACTAACAATTAGTCAGTGACAGCGATGAAATTGGCACCATTGGCGTCAGGGGGAAACGCAGTGGGACAACACCGAAAGTTCAGGGGGTGGAAGTGCGAGTAGGGCGGGTGAGAGCA